GTTTTGTTTTTTTTAGCGCTGCGGGGGGAGACTGGTTAGAACGTCCGCCTCAGAGTATATAGTTGCAGGGTTCGATTCCGGCTCCGGCTTTCCTGTGTGGAGTTTGCATGTTCTCACCGTGCCTGTGTGGGTTTTCTCCGGGTTCTCCAGTTTCCTCCCACATTCCAAAAACATGCGTGGCAGCTTCAAGGAATACGGGAAATTGTCGCTAGGTGTGATTGTTAGCGCGATCGATTCATTTTCCAATCCGCTTTATCCTCACAAGGGTTGCAGGGGGTGCTGGAGCCTATCCAAGCAGTCTTCGAGCAGTAGGCGGGGCACACCCTGAACCGGTTACCAGCTAATCCCAGGGCACACAGAGATGAACAACGATCTGCACTCACACTCACACCCAGGGACAACTTGGAGTGTTCTATCAGCCTGCCATGTATGTTTGTGGAATGTGGAAGGAAGCCAGAGTACCCGGAGAAAACCCACGCAGGCACAGGGAGAACATGCAAACTCCACACAGGAAGGCCGGAGCTGAGATCGAACCCACAAGCGCTGCACTGTGAGGTCGACGCGCTAACCACTGGACCACCAGTATGACAATATAGTATTGATTTTATGGTATGGTACAATATGTTTTCATGGGCATGTTATGATTTTTTTCGTTGAATTATGTGCATATATCTGTCGGTGTAGCCATCTACAGTATAGTAGTCATAAGTTTTGGTTCGAGAGAGATGCTACACACCACGGTACCAACGGGTTGACGGTGATCGAAAGCCGCGTGGCTCCAAAGTAGGGCAGTGACTCACACCCGAGACACTTCCTGTCACTATTGGTCTTTTGCAGTTACTTTATCCGTGAAGTGGAGGACGAACACGGGAGGGCATACAAGGCCGCCACTGTAGGCAGGGGTGAGCAATTAACATAAGGCCATTACACAGACGCTAGAATAGCGCATATACAGCTTGGCTACATTTACGGTATGCAAAAGGCATTGTAGAACACATATTTTGTAAACTACACAAGCCGCTGGTATGGCGCGCACGCACACACACTGCCTCGGGCAACAATTGGCCAAGACACACCAGAGAGCTAACCCAAAAAAAGTTATTTTGAGAGTATTTTAAAGGGGTGGGAGGAGCAAACATTTTCTGATGAATACTTCTAAAAGGATGAAACGAGTGGTTATGTTTTGATGACAATGTCATTGTAGACTACCCAAAAACTATAAGACAGACCAATTTAAAATACCACATGATGGTGGCAAAGCCCCGAATAATAGGAAAGTGGTACGGGTGATGCAATCATAATTTGTGATATTCAGTGAATCCCGCGTATCTGTGGTTTGGCATTCACATATTTTCCAATTTGCGTGAGACAAGGCCATTTCTAATTTAAAAATTATTGCTTTGGTGCCCAATAACTACATAGGTGAGAGGAGCTTCATTTAATCAAGCCATAGCCTTGTCTAATAGACAACTGTAGGAGCTACATTTATTTTATTTGTTTGCATTTGCGGCAGATGGTCACAGGTGGCAGTGCAGATGCTCCCTATTCCATATAATCAGCACAAGTAGGTGATTCGGGGGTGGGAGTGGAAGATCGTGCATTTTTTTACCACCCAGACACACACGACACTCGTTGACAAAATCTAATCATACCATCATCACAACTGAAGTTCTTGTTTTCGTGAGTTAAGTCATATTTGTGTGCGTAAAAATGACCCCACAGAGGAAAACGGTAAAGACAATTGTTTGCTTGAGTCGAGGCCATCGAAAACATCTCCCACACCAGAGCACAGCGACTCCAGGAACCAAAGACGGTCACGACAAGAACATTTAAGTTCATATTTTTGCTATTTGCACCAGGGCCGTGAATAGCGAGAGAAAACTATTTACGGTTCAATCTAAGCAATTACAGTCAACCCAGCCGGGTGCTGTAAGATAGCAACAAAGCACTTAAATGGGAAAGGATCAGTGAAAATCAGCGCCATGCTTCTAGAATGTACACAATCATGAACTCCTGTTACTCAAAAAAGTATTCAGTAGCATTAGCGATACTATTAGCTCGTACACTACCCTGAATAACATCCCAGAAGAAACTCGATGGCGACACCACACATTTGCCAACCAATACACAAATCCACTCGACACAAATGGCATTACCTGCCATCTCAGCTTTTAGCATTTACACGGTAATAAACGTTAGGGACTACAGTCAAATTGTGACGGAAAAGTTGACTACCACACGGGCTATAATTAGCTACATCAGCAGAGAAGCAGCTTTCAGTTTCACTTTTGACTGCGCGTGAGGTGCATTAAAAAAAAACACATGGCGGTTATAAAACACGGCCAAAAAAAATGTATATTATATTTGTAGCTCTTGGCTCTATCCGTGTTCCTCGCAAATACTTTCTTTGTGAAATTATGAAAACTGAAGAAACGATCAGCATTCAACCGGTGTCCTGGAATGCATTCCAAGGCACTAAGACTGCAATATTTCATCACTTTATTGATTCACGGGCTACATCCAAATTGCCGTTTCTTACGGGCATGAGCTTGAAAAGCTAAAGAAGACTCTGGTTCTTTGAAGATCTATTTTAGCAGTCTTGTAACACCCATAATGCTTGCGCTATACTGCCTCGCCAGCCAGTTGATGTCTTATTATTAATGAAATACATTTGCCTCACACTGCGACGAGCTTCTTAACTGTGACAAAGCAGTTTTGCAGGTTCTACCTTCACCACTGCCACCCCATCCCACTCCCCCCCCTTCCTGCCGAGCTCCAGTTGCATGTCGTCCTTCACACTGGCCGCCCTGTTCCCGTTTTGTCGCACTCTCCCGCCGAAACGTCCAATTTGAGAATCCTGAAGGATGCCACCAGACGAAGTAAGAGAAATGGCCAACAGGTTGTACGCACACATACTGCCGTACGTACATACACACTGTCACTGACCTGGATATGTCGCAGGCTGATTTGCTTCTCCTGGCAATGAGGATCCTGACACCAGTCATCGTGTCACATTCAATTTACCGCTTCCACATTGCTTTTTCTGCACGCGTCAAACCTAATAATTACTCACTCGCCTCAGTCTGTGATTATAAGTCCGCCCCGATACAAGTGACACAGAGCACTTATGTATAAGAGTCTGTAGCAGCAGCTTCTTTGATAAATTGTGAAAATAATGATGGATTGGTACAAAATTCAAACGACCGTATTGACCGTGTTATCAACGTTTGTAAACACTAAGCAGCGGTATGCCTACAGGTGACATAAAAGTGATTGACTAATGCTGACTTGAAGGGAAATTATTTTAAAAATGTGTTAGGGTTTTGAGGTTTCAATTTTTTGTATATACTTCTGTCAAAAGAATCTAGATTAATCCAGTGCAACCACCAGAGAAGACTGTCTAAATCACAGGTGTCAAAGTCAAGGCCCGGGGGCCAGATCTGGCCCGCCACATCATTTTATGTCGCCCGTGAAAGCAAATCAAGCATGCCAAGTTCCATGATGCTTGCTAAAGTCTGAACCAAAATTTCAAATTGTCGTATGTAATCCACAATAACAGTCATTATTCTTGACTTCTGATTTTAAAACTAGTTATCCAGTTGTATATGTAATATGGGGAGGTGCTTAAACATTTATATGGTTTCCCAAAATTCATAACGGCCCTCCAAGGGAAACCGTAACTACAATGTGGCCCGCGACAAAAATGAGTTTGACACCCCTGGTCTAAATGATGTGGCAGGTCGGATCTGGCCCCCGGGCCTCGAGTTTAACACCTATGTTCTAGAATTTACCCAATCTCACTTACCCAAAGAAACATGTTATGCAAATCCAAAAAGTAGGTGGAAAACATCAAAATAATGATTCATTAGAATCATGCGGCAACTTTTAAGTAACTCAAGAACGATTCAGTAGGGCACAGGTTGGCCACCAGCTGATGGGATTTGACAGTGAACAGCAGCGTGATAGAAGAGTCCAGTGAAAGTCCAACATGCAGGGGTGGACATAATTCGTGTTTTTTGTGAGACTACATCGCTCTTTTCCCCAACATGTCACAATTATCCCAGCGTGAAGGTGCTACCTGGGGCCTATTCTGAGCCCGGATAATCAGCTTACCAGGTTGAACACAGTCTCCACGACGTCTCGGTTGGAAACTTCCCCAACTTCCATGAGGCCGTCCAACACGGCGAATTTCATCCGGATACCTCGGATGGGCACAGCGGGGTTGAGCGGCAAGGTGCCCGGCGTGGTTTCCTCGCTCGCCATTGCTCAAGGTGGGACCCGCAGGGCAGGTGGCGTCCACAGGTAAAGCCACCTGTTCAGCTCCAATGGCGGCGGTGAGAAGTCAAAAGGGGGAAAAATGAAGAAAGGGAGCGGAATTTATGTACCTCCCCTGGTTAGTTGGTGGCAGTCGATAAGCACATAAGCAAGAGTACGTCCCTCGCCATTCACGATAAATAAAGTCAAATAAAGTACAAAGAGTGTCGCTCCGCGGTGGGAAATGCCTCCGCGAACTACTCCTCTTCTTTTAGTCCGTAACTTGATAGCCCGCAGGCGGATTAATGCCGTCCAAAGAAAAAAAAGGGCGAGGTGAGGTGAAAGGGTCGCGGGTAGCAGGTAGAACCACGGCGAGCCCTTCGCCGACGTTCGCGTCCTCGAAAAGCGACCAAAGAGGAGCCACTTTACAACCGGCGGAAGTTGCTATTGTCATGGAGTCCGCGCACTTGACAGGTAGCGGCGCCAAACTCTCGAAGCTCGGACAAACGCTGACTGCCACCGCCTCAGGCGGAGGGGTCGGAGAAGGAGCAGTGTGGGAGGTGGTGTCCGGTGGCCTCGACGAGCCCAGAAAGTGCACTCAAGCCGGCCTAAGAGAGTGAAGCGTTCGCCCAGCTGCTCGCAGCGCCCACCTTTCGCTTCCTGATTTCGCTCCCCGGTAGCTTTCAGACAGTCACCGCCATGACAGTGGAAGCCCTCGAGTGAGGACGTTTGCGCATGCGCGGCGACGAGTAGTGAGTTGGAGAGGGCTGATTCCGCTCCAGAGGTGGCGGGCGAGGCAGGTGCGCGCGGCTCAGGTGGACGGACGCGGTCGACACTCTTTAACCTCGTCCTTTTGTCACCATTTAAATGTTCAAATGTGTACTTTGTGCCACTTCCCATAGGAGGAGGAATGAGATGTGTATCGAAATGAGATCGTGACTTGGCAATCCAGCGTTTACGACAACACTAACCCCTCGTCAATCGCGGGGGTTATGTACCAGACCATCACTGTAGAAAGTGAAATCCGCAATGTAGAAATGTCGTATTTTACTCCATTCTCGGCGTGTTTTATAACATGAATGGCACTGCAAAAAAGTCTTCACTAAACACACTTTAAAACAATACAAACACATTTAAACACATACTATAGTGAAAGAGAGCAATGTATAGCATTATAATATGGTACAAGTAGTGTTTCAAAAATAGAGTAGGAGCTGTAATAAAGGCAGCATAGAACTGGCTTGAGTGTAAGTTCTGACGCGTCACTTTTCTAACCCTTTTGTGTTGAAAGCAATTCTCCGACAAGTCACTGCAGCGGCAGTATCCCACCATCACTGTATTTTACATAAAAGGCTCTGATAAAGCAGGCTCTCATAAACTAAAAGGCAAAAATACGAGTGATGGATAAACATGCCTCTGTGAATGATTGAAGGACTTGGGCCAGTTCTAAAAATATTTTCATGAATCGTCAGTTACAGTGACCTCTCCTGGCGAAAAAGTAAACCCGTATGTTCAAAAACGTCATTGATGGTGAATGCGTGTATTTATTGTGTTGTTCGTGAGAGAATGCCGGTGGGTGGGGCGGTGTCATCGTGTGGGTGTGCTTTTGTAACTATGGCTGAGGGTGATAGGTCAGATGGGCAACACACAGATTTTTACTGAAGTGCATTTCATTATGTTATGGGGTGCATAAAAATATATTTTGCTCATTGGAACAGGTGAGGGTAAACATTTTAATGGTTCAGCCAGTAAGCGATTCTGCTCTTCTCATCCAGCGGTGGATCAGTCATGTACCGCTGCACCAGTAGCATCCGTGATGGCTGCGGATCACCTAATTTATCAATCATCTGACCTGATCGTGAAACAGTCAGGTGATTGATTCAAAACAATTAATCAGTTGCTGCTTCTGACGTAAGTCAAGTGATTTGAAGCAAGGTTTGAAGCAGTGGTTCTATCTAAAGAATTGGAGTTTGAAGTTTGTATTGAAGTTTCAGTGTTGACCTGCTGTCAATATACAAAACACTGTTTACAGCAGTAATTCATGTGTGGGCACATAGTGGACCGTTGACTCATCACCTGGCATCACCAGACCAACTGGAGAGCGAATAAATCCACATGTATTGTATTGTTTCCGCACTGTTAACCTTTGTGCTGACACGACTTACCAAGGGTATCAAACTCAATCGTACAGGGGACCAAAACTCATAGCATGTTTTAGGCCATGGGACAAACAGGATAAACATTTTGAACAGACTAAAACAAAAAAAAATTGAAAATAAATATGAATTGGAACAGACATGATACAATATTATTCCAATATAAATCGATTTCAACTTAAAAGCATTTAAAATCTGTTGCTCTACGTTAAAAAAAATCGAGAATCTCAAAATGATACCAATTTCAAACATGCGCTACGAATTGCCACATGGATCCCACAGACCAGTACCTGTGAAAGCAAAGACATAAACAATTGATACAGCAAATCTGACACACCCGCTGCGTGCCTCCAGAGACGTTAAGCTATCGGGGGCAAAGTGTCAGCGCATTCCATGTATGGAGAAGGCATGAAAACCAGAATAACAAGGATACCTACCTGTGTTGTATACAGTTGCAGTTGAGTAAGTCTACTTTGAAACATAAACCCTAGTTCTAAACCCGACATTGAAACCCTAACCCTAGTTTTAAACCCTATACTTTCAAACCCTAACTCATGTTCCCAACTCTAGCCCTATTTTAACCCCCCTTTTTTGAAACCCTATACTGTACCTAGTATTAAACCCTATATGCAAACCCTTAACCCTAATTTTAAACCTTGTAAACCCTACCCCTAAGCTTAAACCCATCCATCCATCCATCCATTTTCTAATCAGTTTATCCTTACAAGGGTCGACGGCGTGCTGTAAACTAGAATCCTGAATCGAGAATTATTTTACAATCGAATGCACGTACATTGGTTTTGATGGAAAACTTGCCCCCAGCAATGTGGCGGTCGCGTAGGCCCGTCGCCGGTACAGCCTGTGCCCTCGAGTAGGCGTCACGAGAGGACGTCACAAAAGCGTCCCTCGATCTCGTTCTCTCTAACTCTCGCGCGATTTTCTCCTTTCCTCCTCTTTCACTCCCTGTAGCCAACATGGCAGTCGGCAAGAATAAGAGGCTGACCAAAGGCGGCAAAAAGGGTGCCAAAAAGAAGATGTAAGTACGAAATACAGATAGTAGTGTATTAAAGAACCTGTTCACTTCAGTTCGCGACCGAAAACTCACTAAAACATTACCGGATGAGCGCGATATTTGGCGGATAAGTAAGGCTTCGGCTACTGTGGTCGTTGCGGCCCTGTGTCGTTCGAGCTTCGGCTTGAGGTTTTCTTTTGCCGTGTCCGTGGATGCATTTGGTTTAAATATTGGTTAATTTGGTAACTAACTTATTTATTGGCCGCGTAGTGATAATGAGAAGTTGGGTTAATCGTTTTGCTGGGTTTGACACGTTTATCTCATTTCCTGAAGCTAACTCATGTTAGCACGGAGTTAGTCGGCGTCACATTTACTTACGAGTTGTACGTGTAATACATAATCTGCACATTTGTGAGTCTTAAACAGCAACTGTTGAATTGATATGCTGTGGAATTAATTGAAATGTGAGACTTGCAGTCGGAATGAATTGCACCGGTGTAATGTAAGAAACAGGTGAACACATGTGTTTGGCAATTATGCGATAATTCAGGAATATCAAATGTTTTGACGAATGGAATGGTGTGTAAAGGCAATTCAATGTGCAAGGAGGTAAATATGAAATGCCTGCATTAGTTGTTTGGGTGTTCTGAACTTGAAACATGGAAAGTAGTAATTTAATAATTCATTGAAGAATGAAACGGAGATGGATGAGGGAAGGAGATGGAAGTGTCGTCTAATCATTTTTGTTGACAAAGAAGCACGCTAACTAGCTCGATCGAGGTATTGATTGTATTGTTTGGGTTATCCACACAGGGGTGTATGCCCAGCTCTTGTGAAATATCACTTTTCCCCTAAAAACATGTTACTCTCTGAAGGACCAAAAAGAGATGTGTAACATGAAGGCCTATAGCAACATCGTCTGTACTTGGTTACAAACATGCAGTATTTACCTGTTTTGGAAAACCACAAAATCTTCTCGGTACATAGGCAAGGGGAAAGAAATTGAAGCTTTGCAACGTGACTTCCAACAGTTTCAAATACAAAGCAATTGCAGTTTCGAAAAATAACACAAGTGCAATGTTGACCCCATAGCAGTTGTGATGATATCAGCTTTTAGAGATGGAAGTGACCCAAAATTAGATAAAAGTTGCAGCTGCAAAATTTTTCTGCAGAATAAAAACAAACTGTCAATGTGTCATTTCTTTCAGTGTGGACCCTTTCTCCAAGAAGGACTGGTACGATGTCAAGGCGCCAGCCATGTTCATCATTCGCAATCTTGGCAAGACCTTGGTCACCAGGACTCAGGGAACCAGTAAGCCTGTTTTTGTTTTGGGTTTTTTTTCTCCTCTATTGCTGAATATTACATAGACCCGGGGGATATATGTCAAAAGTGCAACCTCGGTTTAATCAATCAAAACATTTTTCCACATGCGTTTGAGAGATTATCACATGTACATGCCAGAAATTCCTGCATCGATTGAAATGTTTGTCTGCCTCTTGAGCCTCCTTGACCGGTTTCCTCCTTGTGGTTTTATCCATTTTGAGTCATGCTACCCTTCACCGCATTCCAATTGATCCCATGGCAATGATATTGTATCTTTTTCCTGGCTGATACCATTGAAATAATGAGATGAGATCTTTCTCACACTGAAAATTCTCTACGGACCATGGCTTTTGCTGGAAGATGACAGAAATGTTACGGAACCAAGGAGCAGCGTCGTTACTGATACCTTGGCCCGTATCTACACACTGTGCAGTTAGCAATCAAGCTATGTCTACAACCTGGGAAAAAAAATGTCTTCCCCTAACTCATGTTTTGTGTTATTTAGGATACAGCGGCAAAACGTAATGTCGTGGCTACACTTTAGTGTGGCTTGGAGATGGGGTTTTTTTCTTCCCTGTTTAGCTACATTGACTAAGGCTTCGTGAACCCAGTTCCAACTCTGGTTTTCAATAACATATGACCTTGTTTATTTGTTTTGAGAGGCAAATTATGACAACTTGTTTGGGTCCCAAATTACTGTGTGATTAATGCCATGTTCCTGCCTTTTTTTTTCCTCACCGTGGAGTATTCACTCGTCACCCAGATGACTCCAAACTTTTTATAATACCGGCTCTGCCGTGTCATTTATACTCTCCCAGGAATCGCCTCAGACGGTCTGAAGGGTCGTGTGTTCGAAGTGAGCCTTGCCGACCTGCAAAACGACGAGGTGGCCTTCCGCAAGTTCAAGCTGATCACGGAGGACGTGCAGGGCAAGAACTGCCTCACCAACTTCCACGGCATGGACCTGACCCGTGACAAGATGTGTTCTATGGTCAAGAAGTGGCAGGTAACTTTTTTTTTTTTTTTTAAGTTGAATGGCCACTTTTATATTTCTGTGACTCTTTGAGTCTCTTACAACCAGATGATGCACTTGACACTATGTTCGGTGGTCACTTTCCTTCGAGGACCTTGTGTTTGAAGCTTCTCGCGCGCGAGGGTTCTCAGTGGGTCGTGGCCACTGAACTTGCTGTCAGCAGCAGGTTACAATTGAGATACAAACAAATAGCACGTCAGCCATCACCAGGCACCGCACTTGCAGACTAGCTGATTGTTGTCCCGTTAACAGCCAACTCTGCCCCTCTTTCGCTGACTCCCACGTCACTCAGCAGGCCAGGACCCATGTTTTAAAGCCACACTCATGCTTATAGTTTTGTCCAAATAGTTTGTGATGTAATGTATAGAAAAGTCGATTCAAGAATCAAAATACTCGATCATTGCAGCCGTGTCATAGTCCCTAAACATGAGGGCGTTTCGGTGTTTCCTCAGACCATGATCGAGGCCCACGTGGACGTGAAGACCACGGACGGCTACCTCCTGCGTCTCTTTTGCGTGGGCTTCACCAAGAAGCGCACCAACCAGATCCGCAAGACCTCGTACGCCCAGCACCAGCAGGTGCGCCAGATCCGCAAGAAGATGGTGGAGATCATGACCCGCGAGGTGCAGACCAACGACCTGAAGGAGGTCGTGAACAAGCTGTGAGTGGCTCGTAGTTGAGGCTTCGGCGTTGTTGCCATCCCTCATTAAACTGACATTTTGGCGTGTTTGTTTTCCCCCTTCCAGGATCCCTGACAGCGTTGGCAAGGACATTGAAAAGGCCTGCCAGTCCATTTACCCCCTTCACGATGTCTACGTCCGCAAGGTCAAAATGCTGAAGAAGCCCAAGTTTGAACGTAAGACTTGATTTCTCAAACTGAATCCCCATCTAGCTCATTCACAGTTGATGCCAGAGTTTTGGATGCACCTCCAAACGGCGGGGTGATATTTCGGTAACAGTATGTATCGGCCTATCACAGCCCAGCCAACTGAACGTGCGTCCATCATCAAGTTGACTCGCTGGGCTTCGACAACCAGTTTTTAGTGCAGCGATGCAAAAGGAAATTCATATTACAGAAAAGGTCACATCACTTGTTTGGCAATATTTTGAACATTTTAAGTGGTTGGAATGTCCCGTCCCCCCCACACGCACACACACACTGGTTTGACATTGTTTTAAACTAACCTGGTTTATTGTGTCTTGGATCATTACAAAATGCTTCGGTGTTGGGCATGTTTCTAATTTGATTAGCATACTAGATGTGAAGAGATTTGAAGTGCCGTTTTTGACAATATATTGAAAGGCGTTAATTTTTTTTCAAGGGTGTTTATAATAGGGGGATCTGCGCGTGCCCAGAGCTAGTCCTTTATGCTTTTTTTTTAACCATCTCAATTTAAATTAATGATGTCTTGTCCACTGGTTGTTAAATGCCCATGTTCCTCCCACAGTGGGCAAACTGATGGAGCTCCACGGCGAGGGCAGTTCAAGCAGCGCTGCCAAAGGATCCGGAGATGACACCGGAGCCAAGGTAGAGAGGGCCGACGGTTATGAGCCCCCCATCCAGGAGACCGTCTAAAAATAAATGCCCTGACAGATTTAATAATTAAAAAATGTAAATGACCAACCTTGGACTTGTCTTGTGTCATTGCTGTTCAATGAAAAGCACGAAACTCCAAATGTGTCAGCATACTTTTAAAAAGTACATTTCTTTTTAGTGGTCTTAAAAAAACATTTCTTTGTACTACAAATAAAATAGACTAAATGCTACCTGACAACAAGTTCGGTGGCTCCTGGAATTCTAGAGAAATTGTAAATTGTGGGCAATATGTTGCAATCCAATGACAAACCACCAGATAGCGCCAGTGTAAAACCTTTATTACAGAATTTATTAAAGAACACAATTCTAAATGTAATGCAGCAGAAAATATTCACTGATTTTAAATACTTCATTGCACAACAAGTACTTGAAGTTTGAGTCCGAACTTCAGAGCACTTGAACGTAGTTTTTAGGCACTAAGGCCCGTTTGCCCCTCAAGTCACCCAGGAACCATTCATCGTTGATTGACTCCAGGTTGGTGATGATGTCCCCGACCTGTATCAGAACCAGTTGTGCCATGTCAGAGTAATGCCAATGCTTTATTACACATTTTAAAATACTTTTTTGGGGGGGGGGGGTACCTGCAAAGAGAGCTCCTCATCGCAGTCTGAAATGAATTCGTACATGGCCCTTCCCTTCATTTCACCAGCTTCCAACTCATTAGTCAGCAGCTTTGGACCTGTTCATAATCCAAAATGTGGGTAAAAATGGTCAGTTACAATGGATGTAAACAATATGTTTTAAAATCCTGAAATCCATATAAATTCTTGATGGCTTGTTAAATCAATTAAAGAATATTTTAAATAGCAGCAGACGTAAGAAATTAGAATTGTTTGGGCCACTTGTTGCTAGGTAGAATTCGTAGGGCTCAATCAATTAATGCCTCTAAAATAATTAAAATCTACCGGGTATATATTTTTCATTTTAGCTGGAAGAGAGAGAAAGTGTTTGTTTTTTTTATCTTTTCCCTGAAGAGTCACAAAATCAGCATTTCATTCAGAGTTGTACTGCACGTCATACCCGTGCGACTCTCCACAAAAACCTTGGGAAAGATTCCTTCTTTGCCATTGAGTCTTCCGCAGCTCCATTCGGCGTCGACATGCCTGGTGACAAGAATGCAGTCGCCCCGCTTGAAAGACAGCTCATCCTCCGCATTTGCGTCAAAGTCATGTTGAGCCACTGCCCACTCTACAGAAGACTGAGGGGGCAACACAACAAAGTGTATTTACTGTTACTGACAACTTCTGTCCATTTCTTTTCTGAAAACAGTTATCAGTGCATGTTTTATGCCAGGATCCCTGTATGGAGTAATAAGAGCCTCTCAAAGAACAAACTATATACTGTTTGCATCAACCATTCAGAGAATATCTCAGTATCGGGAGTAAAAGGTTAGCTTTACATTTCGCTGCACATTTTGTCCTGATGGGCTCTGCTTTTATTGTTGAAAGTTGTGACAACATGATGGAGATGAATCTTTGAGTAGCCCTCACAGATATAAACCTTATAAGAGAACATGTATAAACAATTGTATTCTTAACAATGAAGTGCATGTATCACTTTTCCCAAACTTCTTGATACAACCATAGCGACACAAAAATGTGCAGTAGTGACAGAAAATAATGTGAGAACGCCGTGGGAAAAAAATTAATATTTTCAAGTTAGGTGCGCTTAGCGAGTGGCAGCGCAAGATGGTGGCCAGTGGTGTCACATCTTGCTACAGTGAGTAAGTGGCATTGTTAATTCTTTATAATAATTATTTCATAGAGGATAAAGAAGATATCCCAGTGAGTATTGTGATATAATTGGTGGACATGCGTTGTCCACCATTTGTGTTGAAAAAAATGCGTCCGTGCTAACGATTAGCATCTAGGATTTTCGGCATGTCAAACGAGCTTCATTGAAGGCAACATAGTTTGGTTGATTTAAATACAATCTGTAATTTTCTTTTGTTTAATTTGACAGTACATGTCAACTGGCAGTGACAGTTTGAGGCTTCTAATTGTTCACTATTTGCCAAACTGCTGCCTATTGTGAATTGAGTGTACATAACATACAACACCTGTATCTCAAGTTTGCGCTTGCAAGTCAAAAAAAAAAAAAATTTAAAATTGGCCTAAATGACAGCTTGTATCTCAAAGAACCCAGAAATGGAACCACTCAATGCAAGAAATCATTGTAAAAATAAATATGGGCTACCTGAGCCGGTTTGACCGCTTCTGGGTGATGACTGGCCATGCCTGGAGAAGTGACACAGAATTCAAAGTCACATACGTGGGAAAGTCTGAGTCATCGAAATGCAGAAGGACAGAAATAAATTTTCCAGAAAACAAACAATATTTTCTCTCCTATATTTCAGCTAAAAAGGATTCTATTTTTCACCCTGCTTTAATTTAACCAAAACACGCCCCTCACCCCCACATTAAACTATGTCTCTCCAAAATTTTAACTATACCACAACCCAGAGATAATTGAGCAAAATCCCAGCCACTGGAAATAACTAAAATATTTTGTTGTTTTTAGAAGAATTATGTACGTGCGTCTTCATTCAAAATTTAACCTTTCATGATAAAAACATTTACAGTATTTAAAAAAAAAAAATGTTACTTCTGTAATCTATATTGGACATAAACACCAAATCAGGAAGAAAGGCCGAAACAGTGCCACTTTTTTTATTCATGGTGCATTACTTCTTACCTGGTAATGCGACCCTGTTGGGATTCGTCATACCCTGGGGCCAAGTGGGCGTTGACGGCAGATCTTCAACGACTTCCACAAAATTGAGAGGGAAAATTCCAGAAGCGGCGCCCAACTGCCCGCGGGCCCACTCATCACCAACGTAGGCTTGCAGCCGGATCACGTCACCCTCCATGAACGACAACTCCTCCCCACTGTCGCCCTCGAAATCAAACCTAGTCATGCAAGGCTTGAACGTTTAGTCCTTTTTCTTGCTTGCCAGTTGGACTTGCAGCCTGCACAAACAACCACAGTCTCCATGTTTACGCATCCAAGGTCTGAGCCAGCATGAACAGTTACTTCAGGGGCACCGTTATGAACAAGCCCGATGCATCCTGCCTAGCAACATGCGACTTGGCAAATTTAACGCAGTGGCGTATTCAATTTTGTCTTCAGCAAGTTAATTCCATGCGTCATCAGATTCCGGTTAGATGAATGACTTGGCCATTGCCTAACATTTCACTTATTGGCCTCCAACAATACTTTTGCTTTCAAGATGTGGCTGTGTTCAAAATTAACCAGCTGCATTAAAATTCATGTTAAATGGAAATCAGCACACACCCGCCACCTTTTAAAGTAACTGTAAAAAATGTAAATGACCAACCTTGGACTTGTCTTGTTGTGTTATTGCTGTTCAGTGAAAAGCACGAAACTCCAAATGTATCAGCATACTTTTCAAAAGTACATTTCTTTTTAGTGGTCTTAAAAAAAACATTTCTTTGTACTACAAATAAAATAGACTAAATGCTACCTGACAACAAGCACCATGGCTCCTGGAATTCTACAGAAATTGTAAATTGTGGGCAATATGTTGTAATGCAATGACAAACCACCAGATAGCGCCAGTGTAAAACCTTTATTACAGAATTGGTAATCAAAAACACAACACACAATTCTAAATGTAATGCAGCAGAAAATATTAACTGATTTTAAATACTTCATTGCACAACAAGTACTTGAAGTTTGAGTCCGAACTTCAGAGCACTTGAACGTAGTTTTTAGGCACTAAGGCCCGTTTGCCCCTCAAGTCACCCAGGAACCATTCATCGTTGATTGACTCCAGGTTGGTGATGATGTCCCCGACCTGTATCAGAACCAGTTGTGCCATGTCAGAGTAATGCCAATGCTTTATTACACATTTTAAAAATATACTTTAGGGAGGGGGGGGGTAACCTGTAAAGAGAGCTCCTCATCGCAGTCTGAAATGAATTCGTACATGGCCCTTCCCTTCATTTCACCAGCTTCCAACTCATTAGTCAGCAGCTTTGGACCTGTTCATAATCCAAAATGTGGGTAAAAATGGTCAGTTACAATGGATGTAAACAATATGTTTTAAAATCCTGAAATCCATATAAATTCTTGATGGCTTGTTAAATCAATTAAAGAATATTTTAAATAGCAGCAGACGTAAGAAATTAGAATTGTTTGGGCCACTTGTTGCTAGGTAGAATTCGTAGGGCTCAATCAATTAATGCCTCTAAAATAATTAAAATCTACCGGGTATATATTTTTCATTTTAGCTGGAAGAGAAAGTTTTTTTATTTTTTATCTTTCCCCTGAAGAGTCACAAAATCAGTTATTCAATTTTGTCTTCAGCAAGTTAATTCCATGCGCCAGATTCGGGTTAGATGAATGACTTGGCCATTGCCTAACATTCCACTTATTGGCCTCCAACAATACTTCTTTTGCTTTCATGGTGACAAGAATGCAGTCGCCCCGCTTGAAAGACAGCTCATCCTCCGCATTCGCGTCAAAGTCATGTTGAGCCACTGCCCACTCTACAGAAGACTGAGGGGGCAACACAACAAAGTGTATTTACTGTTACTGACAACTTCTGTCCATTTCTTTTCTGAAAACAGTTATCAGTGCATGTTTTATGCCAGGATCCCTGTATGGAGTAATAAGAGCCTCTCAAAGAACAAACTATATACTGTTTGCATCAACCATTCAGAGAATATCTCAGTATCGGGAGTAAAAGGTTAGCTTTACATTTCGCTGCACATTTTGTCCTGATGGGCTCTGCTTTTATTGTTGAAAGTTGTGACAACATGATGGAGATGAATCTTTGAGTAGCCCTCACAGATATAAACCTTATAAGAGAACATGTATAAACAATTGTATTCTTAACAATGAAGTGCATGTATCACTTTTCCCAAACTTCTTGATACAACCATAGCGACACAAAAATGTGCAGTAGTGACAGAAAATAATGTGAGAACGCCGTGGGAAAAAAATTAATATTTTCAAGTTAGGTGCGCTTAGCGAGTGGCAGCGCAAGATGGTGGCCAGTGGTGTCACATCTTGCTACAGTGAGTAAGTGGCATTGTTAATTCTTTATAATAATTATTTCATAGAGGATAAAGAAGATATCCCAGTGAGTATTGTGATATAATTGGTGGACATGTGTTGTCCACCATTTGTGTTTAAAAAATGCGTCCGTGCTAACGATTAGCATCTAGGATTTTCGGCATGTCAAACGAGCTTCATTGAAGGCAACATAGTTTGGTTGATTTAAATACAATCTGTAATTTTCTTTTGTTTAATTTGACAGTACATGTCAACTGGCAGTGACAGTTTGAGGCTTCTAATTGTTCACTATTTGCCAAACTGCTGCCTATTGTGAATTGAGTGTACATAACATACAACACCTGTATCTCAAGTTTGCGCTTGCAAGTCAAAAAAAAAAATTTAAAAATTGGCCTAAATGACAGCTTGTATCTCAAAGAACCGAGAAATGGAACCACTCATAATGCAAGAAATCATTGTAAAAATAAATATGGGCTACCTGAGCCGGTTTGACCGCTTCTGGCTGATGACTGGCCATGCCTGGAGAAGTGACACAGAATTCAAAGTCACATACGTGGGAAAGTCTGAGTCATCGAAATGCAGAAGGACAGAAATAAATTTTCCAGAAAACAAACAATATTTTCTCTCCTATATTTCAGCTAAAAAGGATTCTATTTTTCACCCTGCTTTAATTTAACCAAAACACGCCCCTCACCCCCACATTAAACTATGTCTCTCCAAAATTTTAACTATACCACAACCCAGAGATAATTGAGCAAAATCCCAGCCACTGGAAATAACTAAAATATTTTGTTGTTTTTAGAAGAATTATGTACGTGTGTCTTCATTCAAAATTTAACCTTTCATGATAAAAACATTTCCGGTATTTAAAAAAAAAATCTTACTTCTGTAATCTATATTGGACATAAACACCAAATCAGGAAGAAAGGCCGAAACAGTGCCACTTTTTTTATTCATGGTGCATTACTTCTTACCTGGTAATGCGACCCTGTTGGGATTCGTCATACCCTGGGGCCAAGTGGGCGTTGACGGCAGATCTTCAACGACTTCCACAAAATTGAGAGGGAAAATTCCAGAAGCGGCGCCCAACTGCCCGCGGGCCCACTCATCACCAACGTAGGCTTGCAGCCGGATCACGTCACCCTCCATGAACGACAACTCCTCCCCACTTGCGCCCTCGAAATCAAACCTAGCCACGCATCTGGGACCCCTTAAAAAAAAAAAAAAAAGAGATGTAGGGTGGATATTAAAAGTCTACACCCCCTGTTCAAACGACAGGATTTTTTAGACAAATTATTTCTAAACTTTCTCCGCCATTATCCTATTAACCTGAACAACCCCATTGGAAAAAAAAGTATATAAAAGCAAGGATATGAAAAAATACAACCAAGATAATGTTGCACAAGTGTGCACACCCTCCTATAATTGGGGATGTGGCTGTGTTCAAAATTAACCAGCTGCATTAAAATTCATGTTAAATGGAAATCAGCACACACCCGCCACCTTTTAAAGTAACTGTGATTCACCTCAAATAAATTTTAGCTGTTCTAGGAGGCTGTCTTTTCCATGTCACAAAAACTGGAATTTAAGCACTAAAATAATTCTTTAAAGAAAAGAAAACTTACGTGACTATAGCAGAAAGTGGCTTTGGTTTCTTCTCGGGAGCAAATTTTGGTGGTGCATCCGACTAATTGGTGAAAGAGAACAATGATCATGCATTTGTACGATACTATTGATGAGGACTATCACTTACTTACCAGCACTTTGACAAAGTTAACTGGGAAGTAACCAGTGGATCCTTTACAAGTCCCCCTGTACCATTCACTGTCCACGCGCTCCACCATGTTGATGATGTCACCGGCCTTCAAGCCCAGCTCTCCTGGACCCTCTAACGTAACAAAAAAACACTACTTGTCAAATCCATATAATATATATTTTTTGATCAAGCACAGGTCACCTGATGTCAGAGTATTATTTCGGAGCAAGCAGTTAAAGTCAAATTTGTAGTCACTTGTAGTATTTCATTATTTGTGTAAATGTTTCAGCTAAAATGAAAAAATAAATTGATTAAAAACGGATGCTAATCTAACCGCGTCAAGGCTTTAGTTATCAAACCCTTTTTCGATACTTGCGATATCAATTTCCCAAAGCATCAAAGAAACTCGTGCTCTGAGTCATTCAAAATATTGTTACCTGGAGTGAAGTCATGCAAGGCTTGAACGTTTAGTCCTTTTTCTTGCTTGCCAGTTGGACTTGCAGCCTGCACAAACAACCACAGTCTCCATGTTTACGCATCCAAGGTCTGAGCCAGCATGAACAGTTACTTCAGGGGCACCGTTATGAACAAGCCCGATGCATCCTGCCTAGCAACATGCGACTTGGCAAATTTAACGCAGTGGCGTATTCAATTTTGTCTTCAGCAAGTTAATTCCATGCGTCATCAGATTCCGGTTAGATGAATGACTTGGCCATTGCCTAACATTCCACTTATTGGCCTCCAACAATACTTCTTTTGCTTTCATGTCATCATACATCAGCGCTGTGAAGCGCCGCCCATTGAGGTCTGAGAATTTGGCTGAGTATGAGCGGATAATCTTGCCTGAAAGACTTCAGAATTGCTCCTGTTGTTGTCAGCAGATACATCAGCAATAAATACAAGGGAACCAGTTCGACTGGCAGCCTAGCACATATTCTATCATAACTCCATCTCACCTGGAATGATAGTTCTTCGCTGTGGCTCCTGTTAGAGTCCGGGGCGGCGGATCCGTGCGGAAGCTTGTGGAAAGGACACACACACACACACGCACACACACAAAAAAAAAAAACGTCATTGGAAACACAATTACAGCAGAACGGACATGCTTTTTTCACCAATCTTCTCACAGTGTATTTGTCATAGAGACGATGGCCCTGGACAGGTCTGGGAGGCAGGAGGAACCCTTTGGTGGGCTTGGTGGCTTGCACGCTGGGTGGCGGCGGTCGTCCAGGACCAGGTTTAGCCGCAGGTGGGCGTGGCGGGAGCGGTTTTGTGATGCCTTGCCGCCTGAAGTTTCATGAAAAGGCATCACGTCAATTGTGAAATAGAAATGTTTTGTTTTTTTTAAGTGAGGTTTTTGCTTCCACTCACTGATTTGGCAGCGATGGAACCCTCTTGTCCTTTAACAATCCCTGCAGAGAATAATGAGGATTTATGCTCTGCGTGGCTTGTGTGTTGGTTCCCAGCCTAGCTATCGATTCAATGACATTCCAATGTCAACTGTAATGCACTGACCGACGAAGGTAGGCTTACCGGTACTTTGTTTAATTATTAATGAGTTCATAACCTCCTATTCAATGCGTACTGTACCTGAGTTGGGATGCTGGGTAAGGATTTTTGCCTGGGAATGGCTGCGGTGCCTGGAGCGCCGACAGGTTTCCGAGCAGGAAGTGGAGGAGGATCGCCCTGAAGACTCTCTGTGGCTGATGGGAGGTATCAGCTGTTGGGTTCCATGGTGCTTTGTTTGAATGCTTTGTATTTTAGCTAAGCGGGGGCTCACCAATTTGGCTGGGGACCCTGATAGTGGTGGGCCTTTTTGTTAAAGGTGGCCTCGCCTTGACAGGAGCCGGATCTGAGGTCACATGTCAATAAGTAAACATTAGTTTTAATCGCATCACAGCCCCGCGTAGTAAGCAATTTCGCCCGCTTTTGATAGCGAGGCCCCTGCTTGTTGCGCTAATCTTAGCCTTAAGACTATGGTCAAGATTTTTGTTGCATTCAGACACGTGGTTTGTTTACATCGAAACAAGGATAGTTTGTTTAAAGTTTTGGCTGTTGATTCCAATTGAAAGGCTATTTTCGAAATGGGATAGATTAGCTACTTTCACAACTCAAGTTATTGGTGATCTTGGATTAAATTGTTTTGTGGTCCTTTTACTCAGAGCGCATTTGAATTTGTTCATTTCGATAAAATGTAATCAAAGGACTTAAATATTTAAGGTGAATGACAAAAATCACTACAGGTGTTCTGATCCAAGAAACTGTCTCCATTGTCCGTGTTCCAATCTATTGATGACACACTCGAAGCTGAGTGGCCACTTTCATCTGACATCATCCCATTCCAAGCCTGACAACGCTTCGGAGCTAAATTTCAAATCCCACCCAATTCCGTTCCAATTCAAAACCAAAATTCGACTCACTTGGTGGAATGTGGGCATTTTCTTCATTCCTGGGCATGGCGGCGGAGTTGTGGTTGTTGATGTTGAGGTTGGGCTTCAGTGGTTCCTTTGGTGGCTTCACTGGCATTCTCGGTGGCAAGACTGGCGCCTCGTCGTGGATGCTGTAATCCCTGGTTAATACTGCCGGGCGTGAGCGCTGCGGGGGTCCGCCCTTTGTGAGCAGGGTCTCCAATTCTTCTCGCATGGGATTTCCAGCAAGTTTCTGGGGCGGCTGAGGTTTGAAAACCGCTGTCTGATCCTGGCTTGATACATATTGACTGTCCTGAACCAATACAGATCTGGAAGGTAGTGGAGGTTTAGCGGACACCGGTGGCTTTGCCGGCTTTCTAGGAAGAGGCTGTGGTCTGATCGGCTCGGAGGCACTCCCGTGCTCTGGGGCGAGCTGGCTCTCAAAGGCCTGGATCCTGGACTGGATGTTTCGCTGACTGTTCATCTCGTCATCAACTTGTTTCTCCGGATTTGCTCGGTCTCCGTTCGGACTAAAGACGTCCAGCAGCTCCTTCAGATACTCATTTGAGGAAATGTTAACCGCATCTGTGGGGAGCTCATCATCTTCAAGTTTGACCAATGTCTGAATGTTAGCTTCGGTCTGTTTTCTGGATTTTATGCGAGGAAGCGGGACAGGTCTGGGTTCTAAGGTGGGAACAGAAAGAGTTGTCGCACTCGGGCTTGGGTCAGGTTGCGCAGGTGTTTCCCAGTGGACGGTGACTGATCTTTTGTACCGATCTCCTGAGTCCCGTCTTTCTTGTGACTTGTGTGGACCACTTTCAGAAGAACCTTCAGGTCTGAGCAAGGATGGTCTTGGCGGTTTTTGCGGCTTTTTACCTGAAGAAGAATCACAATCAGGAAGGGAACAAGATTAAAATACATCCCCAGTGCAACATCCATTGGTATTACCGGGTGATTTTTCCCTGACGGGGTCAGTCTGTGTGGAGCAGGTCGTGGTGATACAGGGAGAAAACCGTCGGGGAGCCGCGGTGGGCGGAGCAATGTGCTCCTCTCGGGTCTTTTCTTGAATCACCTGGTCATAGGACGGTGGGGGCTGAGTCGTGGAAAACAGAAACATTAGCAAGACCGTTTCTAAACTTGTTTTCATTTGAAATACCACGGAATCAAAACTCCCAAAGTCCCAAAGACAGGTATCCCTAAGAGCCACCATTTAAGGTCGTCAAGAAGCCACCAAAGTTTTTACAACCTTTCTTCATGACATCATTTGTAGCAATACTAGTCCACAAAAATATGATAAAATCTTATCTAATTAGTTACTTTGAAGTTGTACTTAAGTGGAATGTCATCAAGGTAGGTTGGTTACAGAGGATGCTCAAAAGTTACAATTCGGAATTAAACCAAAATTTCTACAGCCTTCCTCACGTGAACATTATAAAGACCCAAGCTAAACCAAACCTGGATGCCTGCGGACCAGCTGGATTGAGGGTCGGAAGAAAAAACCACGGGCGATGCTGAGAACCATTTGTTGTCATCCGAAGGTTCGCCGGCGATAATACTGATCTCTGGTTGCCTACAAAAACACAACACACCATTCAGTGCACCAAAACCCACAGAGCATCGGTTCAAAATGATATAATCTAGCAAGTAGCTCCTCCATTTGTCAAGTAAAGGACTTTTTAAATACCTTGGGTCTCTCGTGTTGTCACTCAAAGAGTTTGACCTAGTTGTGAATCAACTTACCTGGAATGCAAAAGATCTGCTTTGCTTCTGTCAAGATGATCTGCGAAGATGAAAAGAGTGTGTTTTTTAGTCATGTTGTGTTGCCAGGAAAGACTGCCGTCTCTATTTGAAGTAATTATTATCTGTTAAAAAAACAGTTTAATTCTTTTTATTTTGATTTCATGATGTTATGATGTATGTTTTTTATAAAGTACACTATTGTGGAGCACTATTTTTCCTCATTAAAAAAAACACTATACAACATTTTTTTGTTTTTTGGGAAGGCTAGAAACGATTTATGGCATTGCCATTCATTTCAACTGGATATGATGATTTGAGTGTTTTGTAAGCGTGGTGACGGGAGAAATTCAACTCTTATCTCAAGACGTCAGTGTATTTAACTTTCATGTTAGGTTGACACCATCATGTCATCAGCCTGTTGTTCGTCATGCGCACATACCATCATCTGTTTTGGAAATGTTGTGACTCGAAAATTGTGGTCAGACATTTGTAAGTTTATCTTGAACAGCATCTTTAACTTTGAACTTTCTTGACAGCATGTGGCTTTTCTTTTTTTTTTTAAATAAATTATTAGATTTGAAAAAGAATACTATCTGATTAATTTTATGATGGCGGTAGGGTGATAGCGTGGTCGTGGGTTTGAATCCGGCCTCAGCCTTCCTGTGTGGAGTTTGCATGTTCTCCCCGTGCCGATGTGGGTTTTCTCCAGGTACTTTGGTTTCCTCCCACATTCCAAAAACATGCATGGTAGGTTGATTGAATACACAAAACTTTTAAATTGTGCTGCTATTTTATATTTAAGATACGCGGCATTTTTTAAATCTATCGATCTATCTTCATTGTTCCTGTGTGTGTGTGTATATTGTTGAGAGATTGTTAACTAAAGATTTGTTAAAAAAAAAAAAAAAAAATTAAAAGTACCGTAAGTACGCCATCCTGTTTTCCAGTCATTGGGATTAAAAATTAACACATGGATTCAAAAGAGACCTGATGACTATCTAAAAAATTGATAGAGAAAGTCCAAATGTCAAACTGAAAGCACTCATGCGGCATAAAGCAGATGCAACCATTTTAGTTCAAGAACGATACTTTTGAAATCCACATAAAAAGCACCTGTCACATCTGCAACTTGTTTCTTGCTTTTACTCACCTTCTTCAACGACACCGGTGTCCTTTCGTTTTTCAGCCTGACAAAGCTTTCAAGGTACCACAACTTCCTTGTTTACATATGAAAGAAAGAGGTCCTTTTACACCCACGGGCGCACCACACCTTGCACCTCAAGGTGGGATTACCTGCCGAGGAGCTATATGAACTACAATTAAGTCCACCATTAACAGCGTGTTTCCATTCAAATCCTCTTTTGACGGATGACCTAGTAAGACTGAATAGGTTTGTGCCAGCGCGCGCGCGTGTGTGTGTGTGTGTGTGCGTGTGTTTGTGGTGTACCTGTGACAAAAGGCACAAAAGTCACACACCCACAATCACCATGTTGCACCAATCACATTAGGTGGAATGCGGTCTGTCAGGAAGTGGAGCCCATGCCACATGACAATGCCAGAGTAGAAAAAGGTTTCACATCAAAAGATGAGCAAGTACAACATCAAATGGTGGGGGGGTTAAAATTATAAGAATTCAAAAAAAGAGAACGCCTGGCAAAAGCAAAATGAATAAATGAGAATTAAAACTTGAAAATTTGCCAGAAATTTGGTGACATACATACATACATACATACACACACAAAATTGGATCTTGCAAAAAATATGAAAGAATTGCATGCATGAGCCTACCATGCACGTTTTTGGAATTTGGGAGGAAACCGGAGTACCCGTAGAAAACCCACATTTTTACAATTTGACAAAATGCAGGTAAGCTTACACCTGCGAAAAAAAAAAAAAAAGATTTGCTCAAAATTTGAAAAAAAAAAAAAAGAAAAATACAAATCAAAAAATTAAATTAAAAATGGACTTGGTAAACAAATCCCTAAGATTGGATAGTCCTATTGTAAAAATACTAACAAACAATCACATTCTCCAAAGTTTACAGTAATAATTCACCTATTGACCAAATTTGGCAAAAATGACAACTGAAAAAAAAATCCTTTAAATTTCATGAAAAGTTGGCAAAAAAATGACAAAAAATCCTAAACTTATCACCTCGGGCACATGAGTTTTGTAATGTGTACATTATTTCAAAGATCTAAATGTAAACAGTTGAATTAAATTCAGCTCCTCTGGAAAAAAAAATAAAAAATCCAAACTTAAACAGATACCGTTTAGCTTAATTTAACCTTGAACCAAGCTTGTACAATGTCCATTTCTCATTTGCAATGTTTCTATATCTTCCGAAACACAAAAGTGAACCAGAGTGTATGTATAAACTGTAACGTGCCTTGATGTTTTTGTGTGAGTGGATACTAGCCCACATGGTCTGTGAAGCCGCTGAGGTCAGCAGAATACCCACCCCCCGCCCCCCCCATCACAACTGCCTCTGTGCCACTCCAACATATGCACACATGCTGACATTTTATACATGCTTTGGACCACAACAGGCGCACGGCAGCTGCACAACAAACCACCTGCCTGTTTCGTTAAACTCACAGTATTTAATCAGACAAATATTTGTTTCATGAGCACACTCGTAACTATAAATGCTTTTATCTCAAATTATATTTCCCCATTGAAATGAATGGAAATGCCACTAATCCGTCCCTGCATTTATTTAAAATAAGGAGTAATAAGTTAACATAGAGTAAATTGAGTAGAATGTCGTTAATTAAAGAGTTTGAACATCATGATTTAATGCTGCAATCTAATTAATTGTGATGCTCCTTCTGGTGTGCCTGCCTTGGCCATCGAGAGACAGTCATGCAGACACGAAGGAAGAAGAATAGTCGCCTGATTCTTATTCTAATACTACCGTAAGTGCCTCTGTAAAACACTGTAGTATAAATCATTTTTGTTGAGGATAAAGAAGAGATGCTTTTTTGAGTTATCTTGTTATTGATGGACCTGTTGCACCTTTGTGTTTTAATATATTAGTTGCTTCTAAAACCATGACTGTCGATGCTAACTGTTACCATGTGGCGTTTTACATTTTTTGTTAAGATTAAGCAAAGCAGATTTCCCACAAGGACAAAGCTTTTTTTTTTTTAATATACAAAGTGTAATTCTCTTTGTTTGATGTTTTTTGAGACAGTTAACTGCTTGAAGCCTCTTTATTTTGATGAACTGTTCATTACCTGCAAAAGTGCGTATTATCGTGGCTTCACGGGCATTATACAGTGCTCGTATCTTAAGTTTAAGATCACTTGTAAAAAAATACTTTTTACTATTACAGTCAATTTGAGTTCTAAATCTAATCAAGCTTGTAATGCCAACCTACCTGTTGCTTGGTGGATGACATGGTGAATTTCAGGACGCTCCTCTTCTTGCTCATGCCTCACTTCTGCCATTATGAGTTACAACAATGAAGAACAAGAAAGAAGTCATTACAAAGGCAATTATTTCGATAATGAAGCATGTGTTCTCCTGAGAGAATGTGAGTTTGTCTCCGCGGCGGACAGAGTGGTCCTGCCAACTGCAGCACTTTGTGTGGGTGGGACACAGTCAACATGGACCCCACCCCACACTACCACTGAGGCATAGTTTTGTTTTACAAGTTTTAAAATACCAATCAATTACCTACTGTAACTGTAATACTACGCGGTACCCTACCACACCAGTTTATGATATGATACCACGTGATCAGAACATACCATGTCCATACACAGTGCTAACATACCATAGCCTTTTTTAGTCCTGTATAATCATAATGAACTATACCTGATCACAATACCATACCACACCATACTGTACCAAATTACTTTTCTGCACCAAGTGACCCTCTGTACAAGCGTAATAAAGTTTGGAGAGGTATTTGTATAACCACTGTAATTGTAGTTATATTATATACAGTAGTACTATAAAAGTGGTTTGTGTACCACGAATTTTACTCGAGGGTCCCTCTAGTGGTTTGCTAATAAATCAATGTCAAAATATGCTTCAGTTGTGTTTAACTTTGAAGTTAAATACAATTGCATTGAAAACTTCATACATGTTTATTTTTTACATGTTTTTAGTTATAAATGAATGAGCATTTTTTTAATTGAATCATTACTTAGATACAATTTTTCCTAAAAAATATTTTTTAACGTTTTGACTTTCTTCTCAACTCAACTGTATTTATAAAGCACTTTAAAACAACCACCACTGTATACAAAGTGCTTTACATGGAGCTAAAAGAATTCACACAACAACAAAGAATATGCTCCTGGAAAATGACACTGGAGACGATGCGTGTATGTTTTTTTTGGGGGGGGTGGGGGGGTTACTGCAAAATTTGATACAGTTGATCACAGTATTCTGTTCGCTTGTTGACAGCACCTGGTGGACATTGGCGGTAGCGCCTTTGGGTGCTTTAGGTCCTATTTGGCTGAGAGAGCTTTATGTGTTTGCTTTGGTTGCTCTGAGTCAGGAACTTCCCCACTGTGGTGTTCCGCAGGGTTCAGTTCTGGGATCTCTGCTGTTCTCACTGTCCTGTAAAATTACTTATTTTCTTTTACAGTATCCATCCGTCACGACGGTCGCCGGTGTTCTGGAGCCTATCCCAGCTGTCATTAGGTGGTAGGCGGGATAATACCTTGAATTGGTAGGCAGCCAATCGCAGGGCACACATATGTATAAAAAAAAAAAAAAACAACCATTGACACTCCCAATCACACTGAACAACAATTCAAAGTGATCAATTAACCCACCGTGCATGCTTTGGGAATATCAGAGAAAACCGAAGTATCCGGAGAAAACCCACCCAGGCACGGGGAGAACACGCACACTCCACGTTGGCGTGTTTTCTTCTGTAGTAACTTCTTTGTCCGGCAGAGGGAAGCAATTAACGACTTCAGTATTACATTGCATCTCTTCGGTGAGCTCTTCACTTTCTGATATAAAATTCCATAAAAGAGTGTCACATTTTTGGAAACAATATTTAAACTAAAATAAATTAATTTATCTTATGATTATTTTCAAAGGCAAAACTAAGAGTCGATGTGACACGTCGATCATTTGAGTGGGCGGGACTAAAGGGTTTGGCTCTCTCCTCTCTTCACCTTTGCAGTCGCATCGCTGCCTTCCGTCCACACCTCTTCAATTCTCCACGTCAAGACTTCCTTAACCTCGGGATTTAAAGGACTTAAACTGTGCTGTGGAAGTGGCTACGCGTCTGTAAGGAAGAGGTAAGAAAAATAGAAGAACATGTATGCCATAATGCTTGTGTTTTTCTTCGCTCTTTCTAAATGTTTACACTCGTTGTGACTCCCAGTTTGGCTTCACATTACGTGTTGCGAGAGTGAGTTTTTGCGCATGCGCGGCTGTGACTGACACGCGCGTGTGGTTCGGTGTATGATTACAAATACGATTACTTTTATTACTTTAATGTTACGAAGGAAACACTCTGTGTCACTTTTTTTTTTCCGGCCATGAAAACGAATCCTTTGGATGGTCTTCTGTGTGGTCAAAAGTATTGGGAACTCCTTAAAATTCCTACAAATACCTTCAAAATCTTCAATTTTTCTTGGTGTTGCCGTTTTGTTATTGACGTGTCAAACGTAAACGCAAAGTTCTCTTGCTTCTTTGTTTAGATTGATATGAAGGCTCTTGGAGCTCAATGATCAGGTGTGATGCAGGTGTTGCGTTACCTGATGAGGTGACACCGGATGTCATTCCATTACACTCTGGACTATGCTAGTCATTAGCCGCGATGCTTTTTTTAAAAAAATAGATTATAACACTGGATGATGTCGTGCTCTGTAATTTTCATTTCCCCTTTTACCATCACCAAAGAGCAAAAGCGTAGTCAACATGAAGTCATCATTCAAATGTATGACAACACGTATTACTTAGTAGGAATATGCTGATTATCACGAATGAGGATAATAATGAGTCATGTGATGTATTGCATTGAATTTCATTGGCTGAGTAGCTGAGGTCAAACTAATGTGATTACATGTCACGAGTCACAAGTTTAGGAGTGTCTCGTATAAATTAACATACAAGTTCTGTACAAAAATGTTTCCCACAAGCAGTAACAAGGCTTTGTTTCATTTGGTGCAGGAGACTGAGTCACGGTGAAGAAAAAAGTAGGTTTTGTAATCTTCAAAACAAAGTCACATTCAAATAGCAATTGCAAAAGATTTATTTTTAATTAAATAAATTTAAATGAAGGCCAATCTTTATATTTGCAAAGAAGCAACCCGCTAGTGTAAATAACCAAAACAGAATGCAGATTTTGTTCTTTTATATAACCTTGTGAGTGCCTCTTTGTCTAGAAATGTTGCAAAACAAAGTGGAGATTAATATTTGGATTATACAAAAACAACAACTTTGTTGAGCAGATGCCATCGACCAGATCAGCTGTGTCCCGAGTTTGGGATTAGCCCCTAACGATCCCCCCTCAAAAGACCTCCAATGTATTTTTTACATGTCATTTATTGTGCCAATTATAACCCCTCAGTGCGAAATGTTATTTCAAAAAGGCATTACAGTTTACAGAAATTGTATAATAAAAACTTTTAGAAAGGTTGAAGTGCAATACTATACAGTATAAACAAAAACAATCAGTTTCGTAAGCTTCTCCTTTTTGTGGAAAGTTTTGCGAATTTAACATAAAACTCAGTTTGACCCACTTGTGTTGCCTTTCATGGCAGCCATGCCCTACATATTGCATACAAGGCCCTGTAGTATGGATAATATATCCACAAAGGTTGCCTAAACAGACTAGATTGACAGGGAGTCATTTGAAAAATGATATATGATGAAAGAAAAGTGACAAACATCCACATTTTAATACTAGAGTAGACTTGACCAAGTTACACCATTCCAACTCAAATTACACAACTCGGCCATAGCTAAGCGCTAATAAAAACACCTTGAAGGTAAATGGATGAACAAATAAAAAAATAGTCAAACCAGTTCTTTTTTAAACAATATAAAAGCAAACATTTGATGAACTGATGAATCAACATTCAACTCAAACGCTCTTCCACATGACTTGTTTGGATCGCTAAAATCCGTCGACCTGCGTCTTCGCCCTCTCATGGCCATTTTGTTTTTTTAACCTGCGCGTATGACATCATGCAGACAAGCCAGCGACGAGATCGGTGAGGCAGACAGAAGCCTATTGTACACCCACCCTCATCGAAACATGAAAGTCGGAGTGATGTCATCGCATACCAGCATTGTGTTCATACAATACCTCAATTTAGCTTCAGCTATGCGAGTGTGAAGGTAGCGAGCCCGAAGCTAAAACAAGCTCATTTGTTACCGTCCTTGAAAGATGGTCGGAAGAATATGTGTGGTTTGATTGGAATCAGCACCCCCCAAAAAAAATCTTCCCTTGCATATTTTCTGCCATCCTTTAATGACTGTAAAACTAATCAAATCATATTTTTTGTGTTATTTTTCTGAAATGCTATAAGTGGCTACAAGATGCCATCAAAGCGCTGACCAATCGAAAAGTAGTGCTTTGGTGCCATCTTATCTATCAAAACTTCGAAACATTTTTATGGGGGCAGCATTTTTCTGTTTTTGGTCTTAATCTCCTGTCAATAGCGTACAACCCATCTCAATTAGTTTTTTGGTGGTAAACGCTAATCGGAATCTATGGTCATGTGTCGTCTGAACGTTGTTCATAGCTTTCCTGTGCTTTTCATCAAAAAGTAACCTATTTTTGTCCTTTTCTTTTTTTACTTCACTGGAAAGAAAAAATATGACAAACTAAAAACAACATCTAGTTTCACGTTAGGAGAGGCGCCGTGTGACTTGCTCTTTCAAATTCTCATCTTGCACTTGTCAAGATATTTCACATTTGCTTCATTCTTTCACGATGAGCTCAGTCGATAACATCTGCCACATATCCAGTATTTGAACTATTGTCAAGGTGAAAAAAAATAGCAATAAAGAAAGCTAAACATTTCTAAACACTGACGGAGCTAGTTTGTGCTGTAAAGCCACATCTCTGGTGCGGAAAGCGCGTACCAACACTTTTCAGCGCCTGAACAGCACTGAGGCTAATGCTAGCACAACACAAGCGTCGTCCAGGCCCACCGTCTTTAATTAAGGAGCACAAAGTAGGGGAGAAGGTTACACTGGGAATGGTATAGTGCTCATGCTTGAAATTTCTTTTTTTAACCATATAAAGTTTGGGGTTTCAACATAAAATAATGTAGACGTCAATATGATAGCATGTCGCATTTCTTCCCTGCTGTGTTGTTGACTTGCAGCGGCGACTTCGCGTGTAGCTTGAAATGTTTGATCAGACGCTATCCCTTTGGTTGCCCTGCGTGTGTCGCCATGGCAACTGCCGGGAAACTCTTCAGTGCTTTCTCTGAGCAGAGATAAAGGAAAACTCATAATATGTCAGGAGAAGTAATGCTGCAGCAAGAACATCGTGGGTGTGTTCGGTTCTGCCTGGAGCTATTTGGGCATGGCACACCTGTGCAAGCCTGTACAAGTGACGACGGCAGCTTAAATTTGATCAGAAAAACTTCCTTCGGGACAGTTTTTTAAATTTAATTGTATTTATTTTTTAAATACACATTTAGCAGTTGAATTAATTGTGACAGAGCTTTTAACTCAGTTTACTCAATCAAGCCGATCACGTCTTCCAAGTAACGTTCATCGCGCTCGCCGCTGACCAAGTTGTCCACGATGTTTATTTGAACACTCATTTGACATGAACGAGAACGCCACTTCACATGACCACACGGGACTATTCCCACGATGGATGGCATGAAGGCGGCCCCCCTCACCCCCCACCCCTCGCCTCCTCTCTCTTGCAGTGACAACTTAGCATGGTGACCCTAATGGTCCAGGACAATGCTCTTATTGTCTTCGCGGTCTGGAATGTTGAGGACTTCCTTGAAGGAATGCGGGGATGAGAAAGCGCTGACGTTGCCTTTTTTTTTCGAGGGGGGTTGGGAGGGGGTGGACGCTCTGCCTGCTGCACATGTGGAAGTCGTCATCTTTCATTGTGGACTTTCTCTCACCCCCCTTTTTTTTTAATCTCCTCCCCTTGCGTCCACGTGCTTCTCGGAGTATCTTACTCACGTCCAGTCATTTCCCAGCATGCTTCGCCTCCCACACTCATCACACAAACCATTCCAAACGCTCTCTCTCTCTCTCTCTCTCTCTCTCTCTCTCTCTCTCTCTCTCTCTCTCTCTCTCTCTCTCTCTGTTTTTATGAAGCCGGCGTGGCATGAGGACGTCTTGTTCGGTCGAGCCCCGCGTTTCTGCTTGAAGATGCTTCGACGAAGGTAAGACCACAAGAGCATTCCCTTTCATGGAATTCCAACCCGATAGCAAAACTTGGAACGCCTACGATGGGAATTCAAAAATGGGCCGCTGTGATTGGACAGAAGGGACGTTTAGGAAGGGCTGAGATTTGTTGTCGTGACAGCTTTACAGTTGTTGAATCCTTCTTGAGTGCGGTGCCCACACAATGGAACAATGCAAGCAGGGTTACAAGCGTTCTAATCTGAGCTTTGTTGAAAAATGTGGATGGGTAGCGCTAAAAAAGAATTTAAAAAAATTATTTAAATGATGAGTTTCGTCTACAAATGAGCAAGAGGACAATGCCAAAAACAAAACAATAATTGTACTGTGATTTTTTTTTTCCCCTCCCCAAGAAAAAGTCATCATTTTATGGTGTGAAAGTTCTCCTACAAGGCAAAAAAAAGACTTATTGCAAGAATGAAGTCATATTTTCTTTTTAGAATGAAGTTGTAAATTAATGAAATAAGTTGAGATTTTAGTGTTTTGTTGAAAGATTATTTAAGTAGAGTAGGGCTAAAACTAACGCTTCTTTTAAGAATTGAATTTTGTTCTTTTGTTTTGATGTCGCAAAAAGGAATCAACTTGCTATCATGGAGAGCAACAAAAATCTGACAGTATTTTACTGTTTTATTTTTTATTTAAAAAAAAAACACAATTTTCTATAAATTCCTTTAAAAAATGGAATCTTATGAGATAAAATGATACGGCAATATTATAAGAATAGTTGTATTTTTTTCTTACATTAAAGTTGGAATGTTTAGATGCACACAAAAAAAAGCTTGTAATTTTACAAGAATGAATTAAAGGCAGCTGCACGAAACTACATTTTTTTCCCGAACACTTAATATTTTTGAAAATTTTTGACTTATTCAAAATGAAGATTTCAGGCACCGAAATAACCCCATTTAATGGCATTGTTGCATCATTTATCCATTTGTTTATTTTTAACAATGATGTCACAACTATACATGACACTCACAGTGGCACAAGGCTCGTATCCTGTGTTTGGAATCGTGACTAGAATTGCCCGAGCAGGTTAAACAGGGTTGTCAAAGCAAACCGCTGTCTTCCCTTTCCAGTCGCCTACTCCAAACGAGCATGTTTTTCCTACGGCCAAACGGATGACAACTTTCTCCAATGAGCCGCAGAGTTCCAGTCCTTTTTGTCGGCCGAGCGGGCATTGCTACGCAGTAAGCAGCCAGCAAAACGATTTGTTTTCCCGTCCGGTTGGCACACAGCCACGATCCGCGCTGGAAGCCTCTCAGAACGTCTGAGCTACTCCGAAGAGCAATTTGACAGCTCGGCCCCAAGTGGCCTCCTCCACCCAGTCATGTGACTTCTCGTGTTATTGTTCCTGCATGCCTAGCATAGCTGGAGCGTGGCGGCGCAGGAGGAGAACGGCGCACGGGGTTGTCCTTCAAAGAAAAAGCGCCGCTGACAGTTTTTTTTTCTTTTTTTTAATGCCTCAAGCAGGTCCTCTGCGGTGAGTCTGTCTCCGGTGGTTACGGTAGGCGGGGCCTCCCTCCTCTGACATGGTGAAAGAGGCATAGAGAGACCGGTCCTCGTCATGGCCTCCATGGTCGCCAACGGAAACCAAGATGGGCCGTCCGTGGTGCTCCAAGGGGCGGATCCAGAGACATGCATGATTGTGTTCAAGAACCACTGGGCTCAGGTAAATGTCTCTAAAGAAGTTAAAAGAAAAAAAAAAGACAATGACAACAAGAAAAAACGAAATACGCCTGATTGCAGACCATGTTCGAGTTGAAACTTTGTCAAGTGTAAGAAGACCGTTGTTAATCGTAACACCCAACGCAAAAGGCATGTATGACAGCTTTTATTGGAGGATTTTATTGATTTTTGTAAAATTTCCACAATTGTTACTTTTAAGCAAGATTATTTTTTTTCCTTGCCTGAAAGAATTTTGACCAATTTGTTGCAAGGGGAAAATAAAGTGACATCAACACCTAATTATCGAGCATTTTGAATAATCCACAGCAAATTTATATCAAAATGTGAGATTTATTTATTTTTAACACGGTGTTGTTTTTTTTTTTCCTTATATTTTATATACATTTTTAGGAGACGTGCGGGGGTTTCTAAGAAATTTCACAGAATTATATTTTTTATTATTATTTTTACCAAGTACAATTCTTGATTATTTTTGGGTTTATCCAAAAAAAAAAAGATTTTTTTCCCCTTCTCAAGCAATTTTTACTTAATTAATTCATTTTCTTTATTACATGCCTATTGTCACCATTTTTTGTCAAAATGTGACTGTTTCCAATTTTGAGTGCATTTTCATCCTCACACTTCATCACGTCTGATATTCAAAGAACATTTAAGGGGCCAAAAAAACAAATTTGGTTCGCACTCTTCAACGTTTTGACAACAAACGTGAAAAGAACAATGACATACTCTCCTCAAATAACTCCCCCCTTGTCTCAAAATGAGAATAACCATTGGGTCAAGTCTCACCGTCCCGCCATTGAGGCGAGGCCCGCTGAAAAGTATTTGTCGCGGCAGCGACGGCGCAAAGCGCTCTAGCCGTGTCCCGGCAACACTGAAGGGCAGCGTGGTTCCTCTGCCAGTGGAATCTTGGCAGTCTGTCTCAGCTTGTCCGCCCACCCCAGTGGAACTCGCTCGCAGCGCCGCCACACCCGCGTGAACCCATTTGTACGCTGCTTTGGATTTCAACAAGACATTTTGCGCAGCTCCGTAAGCCTCCCAAAAGTCCTCATGCATCATCTCCCAAGATATTTTCTGCGTGCAACGTTTTCCAAGGATCTCTCCTTGGAAATGTACTCGGGGAAACGCCCGAGATTCGAACAGTTTCAGTTTTGGCACCAACAAGGACATTTTCATTCCAGATGTGCAGGCCTGTAGAAGCTGAACTATCGTAAATGTTGACGCCGACGCTACAAAAAAACACTTTGTTTAGCATCTCTCTTTGTTTTACCATCGAGCGGTTATTGAACGGAAATATATATCAAGTCAAGTGTCAAGTATCAAGTACAACTTTATTGTCAAATGTGCTGTAACATACAGCACAGATGAAATTTCCTCCCTCTTAAACAGACAGACAACAAGAGGAGCCGCTGCGGGTGCCCGCGCCGCCATCAAAAGCACACTTCACCTAAAATGACAAAATAAGACAACACATGAGACACAGACAATCGTGCAATCTTAACCACTTTCCTGCATACACTTTGTTGTCTGAAGCAGTTTCGGTTTCGGGTACTGTATATAATATTCAATACGGAGCAGTGATTTGAGGGAAATGATTGCATTTCTATTTGTATGTCAAATAGAGAGAGTTTAATGGAAAATACAAATTTTCAATAAACTGGCTTCATAAAAAAAAAAAAATCACACGTTATACAGTGCTGTTGTTTAATGGTAAAATGCAATTTCCTGTATTTTATATTTAATATAGAGCAGCGTATTGATGGGAAAATGTGGCTTGGAGATGAACTTGTCTGATAAGATGCATTTTGTAGCTTGTCATCGTATATTTGATGTCAAATTTGCCATTGTTTACGTTTTACCCAGTGGGGTCAAGGCGTGACTCTTTCTGTATCGTTAGCTGGGATGCACTTTCCAAAATTTTAATTTTCTTCCCCTAAATTTCTGCACACCACGGAGGAAAGACAAGAGAAATGTTGGTTGGAAGAATTTCCCGGGGGCTTTCATCTTGTTAAAATTCTGGCCATGCCAAGAAAAGTGACGCTGGCACTCTGCACAACCGGTAACCATGGCAGCCTGGTCATCCTGGAAGGGGGGTTCGCCCATTTGCGGCCCCTCCTCAAGGTTTCTTTTTTTTTTCCTTGCCCTCCTGGAGGTTTAAGGTCAAGCGATGTCGTGAATACTTACTCAACTGTGGGCCTGTGACGCCCTTTGAGACCGTTTGTACTTAAGGGCCACAGAAATAAAGAGGACTTGACTTGACTTGACTAGTCTTTGGTTGCGCAGCGCTTGAGTGCTGTTTGTTCCGCGAGGCGACGCTCCCAGCGGCCTCCCGTTTCCATCGAACCGCTCGTGTTGTGCGTCATTTGTTTGTTGCCACAGCAAAGGTAGATGACGGAGGGGGCTGGCTCGATTGTCGCCGGGGGTGGTGTCGATGTCGTACACGCTCAAGGAAAAAGGAAAGAGTGCATGCACAAAGGACAGTGTCTCTCCCTTTATTTGGGCGTCTAATTGTATCGTGTTTGATTATTAACTTGTCGGCGTTCGGGGCAATCTCTTCCGTTTGATGTTGACATGAAAGGTGATCGTTGTGTTAAAAAGATGATTAACTGGAAGGAGCAATGTCAATGTCGGTTTTGCATTTAGGAGTGAGAACGTAAAACTGTATGGATGCTCATTTAGAGTTGGGGCTTTTGAAAAATAATCGATTTGTTCCCCCCCCCCCTTCAATATTGCGATTTAATAGGCGATTGTTTTTTAAATAAATGTTTTACCCTTATAGGCTAGGCTAATGCTAACACAAAGGCGGCTAATGAACCAAGAATTAATATGAAAGAACTTGATCTACTCCCAAGCCTTCACTAGGTGCACTCCAGTTGGATTTAACTTTTAGTTTACGTGCATTCCATTTCCAAGTCATCATTTTAGAATTGTTTGTTGCCAAACATTTATTCAGGGACAAATTGGGGAGTGTGTCATAGATTTAAGAGTGTTTGCGTAACTTTTAGGGAGTGTTTCAGTAAATTTGAGTGTTTAATCCACTTAAGACTTTGAGTACATCCAGCACTATTTAGGTTACGTTGCCCATGAACGCTTGGGCCTACTACGCAACTGTATTTTAATGTTGCTATTGTGATGATACTTAAAAATCTCAAGGATTTTTTTTTTTTTTTTTGAGGTGGGTCTTTGTCTACAAATTTTGAGAACTATGCCTTACTCTACTTCAAAATAAGCCTCCAGATTGCAACATGCTGTGTTCTGATAAATATTCAAATGTACCCAGCATCAACTCTAAATTCCCGTTTCTTCTGTGCAGGTGGTGAAAATCCTGGAAAAACATGACCCGTTACGCAGCGGGACTTTGGCCTCGGCGCCCTCGCTGGGCGCGCTGGGCCCGGGCGGCGGGCCGCGCTTCGGCCCCGTGCCGGGCGACGAGGCTAGCGCGGTGCAGAACTACGTGGAGCACATGCTCTTCTTGCTAATGGAGGAGGATTGCGGCAAGGCGGGCGCCATGGGGCCCATCCTGGAATTTGTGGTGCTGGAGAACGTGATGGAGCGCCTGTTCGTGTGGAGCCTGCGCCGCGAGTTCACCGACGCCATGAAGCTGGAGCAGCTGAAGATGTACGAGATGCTGGTTTGCCAGTCTCGCCAGCCCCTGCTGCACCACAAACCGGTGCTGCGGCCGCTCATGATGCTCCTGTCGGCGTGTTCGGGCTCGGGGGGCGCGCCCGACGTGGAGGCCCAGCTGGTGCTGCTCCTGCACCAGCTCTGCTGCGTCCTGGCCAAGGACCCGTCCGTGCTGGAGCTGTTCTTCCACACCAGCGAGGACCAGGGCGCCGCCAACTTCCTCATCTTCTCGCTGCTCATCCCCTTCATCCACCGCGAGGGCACCGTGGGGCAGCAGGCGCGAGACGCGCTGCTACTCATCATGTCCTTGTCGGCAGAGAACCGGCGCGTGGCTCAGCACGTAGCGGAGAACACCTTCTTCTGTCCGGTCAGTGCAACAATTTGTCACATTTGTCAAATTCGAATCAGATTTGAAATTCATCATCGTGAATGCCACGTGAACGGAACTGTCACTTGTGTACTTCTAAAAGGAAAAGTTGATGAAGTGATTTATCTTTGGTCTGCATTTGTTGAAATCACAAGTCCACTTCTATCTCCACTGTGTACGACCAGCCATTCAATTCTAACCTTGGGAAAATGCTCATAAACGAAATCATATTCCTTCATTGATGTCGTACGGGCCTCTGATAAGAAAAAGGCTCCTCGGCCCTGCCGCACTGCGATGTCTTTTTCGCGTGTCTGGTGTTTATTTAATTATGCTAATCTCGCATCCACAATGCCATTGTAGCCTCAGGCTCAGACATGGCACGGTAGAAAAAAAAAAAAAAGCAGCTTTTGAAACCAGTCCAGTCCTAACAATGGACACCCCTGAATGACACGGCTTGGCTGACTGCTTATACAAGGATAATCTGACTGAGGATAAACTGCCGCTAATGCTGTTCTTTCTGTTCTCCTAATGCCCTGAATCAATTAACCCGAGAGAGCAAAGGCATCCAATGTTGCTAACGGCACACTTCAGCATTAGCAATTAGCAAGTGATCTCGTTTTGCTTTCGTGGCATGATTTTTTTTTTTTTTTTTTTTTGTTATTGCTAACCGCTAACGGCAACGATTAGTTGATAATAGTCACATGTCAATGATTTTGTCGATTAATCAATGAATCGGTGAAATCAAACACGTTTATAGTTCCATCGCTATCCTCATAAACAGGACATTATTTCAAATGCACAGTGCAGGAAATGCACTTTTTTTTTTTAAAATTAAGATTCCGTTACTGGTTTGGTCCGTAACGTGACCGAAAATAGGCAAAAATGTGGACTGCTGTTTTCCAAAGTAAAAGCCGGTGTTTGCACGTTATATTTCGATTCAACACAAGGCTCATAAGTCTGCTTCCATGGAGGAAAGTGGACAATATTTACGGCTGAGAGGCTTGGAATTTAATCATCGTGTGACCTTTGGACTTCAGGTTCTTGCCACGGGCCTCAGCGGTCTGTATTCATCTCTGCCTACCAAGTTGGAAGCTCCCAGTGACGAGTGGCACTGCCTGCAGAGGGACGACTGGCTCCGTGTACCCTCCTTGGTCCAGTTTCTCAATTCCCTGGAATTCTGCAATGCTGTCATCCAGGTTAAAAAAACAAACAAAACAGAAATTAAACGCGATAAACTTTCAAGCCTTATTGCCAACTCCTCTCTCCACTTCTCAGATAGCCCACCCCGATATCAGAGACCAGTTGTTGGGCTACATCTACAATGGCTTCCTCGTGCCTGTACTCGCACCCGCGCTGCATAAGGTTCAATACGCATAGCACCTTTTTTTATTTTTGCATTTTCCAAAGTATATTGTTCTAATAAGTAATGATAAGACACCATGTTTTGGTCAACTAATAGCAACATAGTGAATCATTCACGTTCACATTCTTTTTTTGTTGCTAACTTTCACCAGCACCTTTTTATCAAATCATCAGTTTTCTAAAATTACCTAATCATTTTAAATGTGTTAAATTTGTCGAACTGCTAAGAGCAGGGTACTTAATTAGCAATTGGCATTTTGTTCCCACCCTCTCTTTCGCAACATTGGTAAAACGATCGTTCAATGCCATGTTTTTTGTTGCTAGCTGCTAACGGCGCATTGTAGCATTAGCAGCATTTTGCAAAAATAGTTTAACCGCCTTAAAATGTCAAATGATTGTTTTGTTGTCAAGACTGTTTGGAACGTGAGCAATTAGCCTTTCACAGACATCATTTTGCCAAGTTGCTTAAATGACAGTTTCATGTGATATTTTTTTGGTGCTAACTGTGCAGCTTAGCACGAGCAGTTAGTGTTTTGATAAAACATTTATCAATACATTGTTATATTGGACAAAATAAAAATGTCATTGGAGGGTTTTGTCACTCACCGCCAACAGCCCACCATCATGCCAATCGTCATGTCACAGTATTAAATTGGCAGTTTCCAATCAGAATTTTTCATTTTTCATTTTTCGGGTGACACCATGTAGCTGACTGTCGAGGAAGTGATGACCACCACGGCGTACCTGGACCTGTTCCTGAGAAGCATCAGTGAGCCGGCCCTGCTGCAGACCTTCCTGTCCTTCATCCTGCTGCACCGCCACGAGAACGTCCACATTTTGGACACGCTCGTCAGCCGTATCAACACACCCTTCCAGGTATGTCGCCGAGATCATAGATTCAATTGCCATTTGAACCGTTCACATTGTATAACCGTAGAGTGTTGCCATGGCAACACCGGATCGCTGATCCATCTATGTCAATGAATTGTGTTGACCAACATGACACACCTACACATCAAACATGTTTTTTTTTCCAGATTTGTACTAGAACTAAGACGTTTTGAGCAAACACTCACCAGACTAAACATGAGGTACACCTGAAATGTTTTCCTTTTTTTCCTCCAGCTGGGCATCGTGTCACTGGCACTTTTCCGCACTCTCATCGGTTTGCACTGTGAAGATGTCATGTTGCAACTCATCCTCAGGTGACAAAAAATAAAATAAAAAATTAAAATATGAATTGAACTCCGAGAGGTTTGTTCACCACGCGCCATGTACATCCCCAGGTACCTGATCCCGTGCAATCACATGATGCTGAGTCAGCGGCGCGTGGTGAGGGAGCGTGACTTCTACTCGGCGTCGGCGGCCAAGATCCTGGCCTTGACACCGTCCTGCTGCTCCCCCGACAGCAGCCCGCCGCCGCCCCGACAC